TGTAGGCAAACAGTATCAAGAAGCAAGCACAGGGGCTGGAGAGATGGCTCAGAGATTAAGAGCACCAGCTGCTCGCAGAGGACCCAGGTTTGGTTCCCAGCATCCACATGGTGGCTAACCACCATCTGTCACTCTGGGTCCAGAGGGTATGATGCCCTCTTCTAACCTCCGAGGGCACTGCGTGACACAGGTGTGCTTACATACATGCAGGCAATACACTCTACACATAAAACAAAAATAATATTTTTAAAGAAGCAAGTACAGAAAAGCATGTGAGAGGTGACACAACAGGGCCTTATGCTAAGCAAGGCTTCAGAGAAGCAGCAAGGTGGGGTAAGTCTTAAAGCAACGAGAGCTTGCAAGGCAGAGGACAGGGTTTTCTCGCAAGGCAGAAGAACCTGTGACACAGGAGTGCTTCCCTTCCAAAAGATATGCAAATAAAAAGACACTACAAGACAGGGTAGCCTTGGCTGGCTGCAAACTGACTGTGTAGCTAAGGTTGATCTTGAACTCCTGATTCTCTTGGCTCCACTTCTGAGTGCTGTGATCAGAAGCATGTGCTACCACACATGTCCAATCTATGTGGGGCTTGGCATGAAAGGCTTAAAATCTCCTAAGACAGTAGAGATTACGTTGTATTGAAACAATGAAAGACAAGATTGAACAAAGATTCTCTTTTGTATTTTATTCTGTCTTTCCTCCTACTTTGTCTCAAAATATAAACAAAATAAGGCAGGGGCAGGATGGGAGGAGTTGGAGTGGGGAGGGAAAGGGGTAGAAATTATGTAAACGTACTCATGTATGAAATTCTTAAAAAAATAAAACATAAAAACAAAACAAAACTTTTTTCTTTTTTTGAGACAGGGTCTCACTGTAGCTCCAGCTGGTCTGGAATTCACTATGTAGACCAGGCTGGCCATGGATTTTACCTCTGCTTCCCCATTGCTAAGATTAAAGGTGTGTACTACCACACCCAGCTCCCAGCTATTTTGAGACAGGTTCTTACCTAGCTTGACCTAAGATTTTCTGGAAAATAGAAAAATAGATACCCTGGACACATGTTTGCAGTATGGAATTTCTGGGCAATGGAGGGGAGGGGAACTCCATAGACCTGGACATCATGCACCTGTCCTCGATCATGACGATTTTAGTGTAGCTAAAGCTCTAAATACTTCTAAAATATAATACGGTAGGAAAAAAAAATCAAGAATCAGCAGCAATCTAAATAATATACTCAGGTATTAGAGGTTCAATGAGGGTAATAAGCTGACAGTTGATATAAGTTATTCCACCCCGTCTTGGGAGCCAGAGACAAAGTGAGATGGGCAGGATTTTTACATAGGACATGAAAACAATTGTAACTTTTTGTGGTCATCAGGCCTATCACTTCCAAAGTGATCATACTCATTTAACCAAGACTTCATGCAAAATGACTTAAAACTGCTAGAAAGATT